TATATAGTTTACTGAGAGTAGGCATCGTGAGAGCCGTATATTGCCAAGATCCAAATTAGGATTTTACAGTGGAGTCTGCTTAAACTGAAATCTGTGGGACCTCCGGATTTTCTTCAGTTTAACAATGTTTTAAGTAGAGAGATTGCTGATCATTGATCATTGTCAACAGGGTAGAGTTGGGAATGCTATGCTTGCAGTAAATTGCACTTTTTGAAAGTTTTTTCTCATCTACCTCTTTCAGAAACTGCAATTTGAGCTGCCGGCTGTGCTCATTGTGCTTTCTTTTCGGCATTGTTAGCTTGCTTAATCCTCGTAACAGTCACATAGATCAGAGGAAAGAGGTCAATGTACAGAACATTGTGCTGTGGTCTGTGCTAGGCTATTGAATGTGAAAGCCCAATGCCAGTGACTTTGAAACACACCATGTGCCATTATGTGCTCATGTGAACCAGCTTCACAGAGACTAGAGGGGCCTTGGCCATGAACAACCAAAGGTCACACAACAGATGTAGATTTGCAATCCTTACATCACTACAGTTTTTAGGCATATTGGTGTGTCTGATAGATTTGGACAAACAGTACTTTCTAGCCTGCAATCAACATATGCATGTTCTCGTGTCTCTTTCCTCCGTTTTGCTATCTTGAAGTATGTAAGGCTTGATCATTTCCGTTACTTGAGGATTGCTTGTGAAGATTAAGATGATTTTACCCTCCTTAAAAAAAAAATTTAGTTTAGACATTGAAGTATTTCGGAGAATTGTTAGTTAAATTCTATACCGAAATAAAGAAGAAAAAAATGGGGCACTCTAATTTCTTTTGAAATGCGCTTGTTTTTTGGGGGGTTTTTAATAACCGTGTTCGGTTCAAGCAGACTCCATTGTAGTTATTCTGAAAAAAAAAAGGCAGATCCCATCAAAGTGCTCACTATCAAACCTCATGCATTTTCTACCACAGAATGTAACATGCAGAAGGGTAAAAGCTAGAGAGCGACAGCATCAATAACATTAACATGTTATGTTTGATGGGTTAATAATGGGCTCTTTCTGCTTACTGAGGGTTTTTTTTTTCTATATGAGGTGATATTCCATATTGTGTTTATAGTTTTTGTATAGGGTTTTGTAGTGACTATATCGGACAGGTTTTGCTTGCAAATCAAACACTGTGCTGCAGAAACAGTTGTGAGGGACTTTTGAAGCTGTCTGCACACACGTCCCAAGAGACTTACGCCACAGCACTTTTTCGTTCTTGACATTCATTGCTGTATCATGTGGTTTGTAAATAATATGGGCACTATGCATTAAATTTATTTCCAGGATTTTCTGAGAGGTTTTGCTTGTCATTTTGTAGAAATAGACCAAGCATGTTTTTCTGTGTGCTTCGTCCTGTCTGTCAGATTTCAGTTTTAATTTGATTGCTTTAGAGAACTCTGAGATTCTATTCAAGTCGCTATGTCTTGATGGACTTATGCTACTAGCATACTAGTCGCAACAAGTTTTCACTTGGTAGAAATTGTGATATGGACTGCATGCCATGATTGTGAAATGGGGCTCTTGTGGTCAAGAGGTACGGAATTCGCCTCACACTCACATGCAAAAGGTCTCGAGAGCGAAACCTGACCATGCTGAAAAAAATTTCCTTTCTATAAGTTTCTCATTTCACCTGCTTTCCTGTTTTCTTGTCTTGTTCTGTCATCTGTTTTATCTCCAACCTCACCCCTTTCCAACCCCTGCCTCCTTTGGGCACCTCTCTCCTTTATTCCTGAGTCATTTTACAGCTACTCCTTGGCTCCTTCTTACTGCCGTCTTTCAGCCACACCAGCCCTATCTGAGGGTAGGTAAGTTCGAACACCTAGATTTCTCGGATAAGGGTGAAAAAATCTTGGAGGTCCCTTGTGCAAGTTGCGCACATTATAGATCTTTAGGGGGTCCTAAAATTGATAAGAGTAGGCGTTAGCCCAGACGCCAGCAAAATTCAAAATTAGTTCCTACCAAAACTGAAAATATTCTAGTCAGTATACAAACATATGAGTATGAGTACCTTCAAAATCAGAATGTGGCTGTCTGAAGGCAAGGGGCCCTACGGAACAGAAAAAATGGTCATATAGACCTACATAGAATATGAAAAGAAGTCGGTTGCACTGCAAGTTGAAGAACCAGCAGCTGACTACCCTTGAGAGTGTGACTGACTTTTCTGTACAGCTATTTTCTTACCACATTAAAATGCACTTTCCTTTCAAGCTGTCAAACTCCTCCTTGAGAGGTTCTTTTCCTGACTGGTTTATTCTTAATGAATTAATTTAAATCTTGCACTTTCATGACTTTTCAGGGCTGGGAAAAATCCCAACTTCCTACATGCTTCAAATGTAGCAAAAACTGAAGTACATAATATGTGAGGCATCATGGAGAAGTCAGGCACTTGTCAAAATAATGAAAACCAAGAACCTGCATTTTTCAGCTGGTTTGGCAATATTTATTAGATTTATGAGCCTTCACCTGATCATCTCCTGAGTTTATGCATATTTAGTCTCTCTTGCTGTCTTTTATGGTTTTTTGGTTTTCTTTCTTTCCTGGTGGTCAACGTTGTGATGATTGGCCTGTGGTCTGTGTCCAGGCCTGCATTGGGGATGGCTCTTGAGTCTGTGGTTGTGATCCACATTCGAGATCTCGCTAATATTTTTTTGGCTCAACACCTTTTATGTCTATTTAAAAACACGTTTCTGTATGGATTTTGCTGGGAAAATGTGGTTGAAGGTACAAAAACTGTAATTTTTCAGTTTTCAAGGACTGTCCAGCTATGGAAATCGCCAAACTTTGATGGCAATTTTCTCGCTGATTTTACCTCAGAAACCAGGAGACCCTTCCTCCTTCAATCGCAAATATCTTGAAATCTATTCAAGGTTGATGTATATTTTTTCATCAAAAGCTAGACAGATCATGAACAAGCTTTAAGATGATACCAATAACTCCTTGTCCAAAAATTGACCTGCACCTGATTCCACCATGATGTGACATATATCTGTCTGGCGACCTTCAGTTGGTCACGGCCTATTGTC